CTTATATTTTCCCCTGCCCCAAAGGCTATTTACTAGAGACCTGCTGTGTGCCCTATTGCTGGATGGCCATGCAGGTGCTCCGGCTGCTGGATACCTGCTCTTGCACCACCTCCCTAGGCTGAACTCAGAAGAACATAGAGTCTCATACCACATTGGCTCTAATCCGCTTGGCACAGAACAGGTAAACCTGCTGCTATTACTGAAAATGCAGCAAGGAATTGGTGGGGTCCGTAGCAGTTGACCAGCTCAGAAGGCATGTCCACCCTCAAGGTGTGAATGTGTTGTTAGTGGGAACTGTTGGACTTGGACTTCAAGGTCTTTATTTCTGTCCCTCTCACCCCCTGGCTTTCTGTTTCAGTCAGTCAGTCAGTCAGTCCTAGACTGTGGGCAAATCCAGGAATGAAGCCACAGCTAGACCTGTTCCTTCTTCTCTTGAGCACAAAATAGTCTTTTTGGTCAACTAACTGTCTCTTAGAACTCAAAATACCTTCGGTCTCTCTGACCCTAGTTCATCTAGGTTTGATTATTGGTTCAGTCCAATAGGCTAACTGGGACCTCTCTTTCCTAGTTAAATCCCCAGGTCTTGGCTGTGGGGTTGATGTTGACCTAGCCATGGGTAAAACTCTCTGGCCATAAGCTTTTATCTGACCTCAGAAAGTGGATGAGACTCTGATGTCTTTACTAAGCACTCACAAGGGACCTGAAAGTGTGATGAATGCTCTTTTTAAAACTAGTTATAAGGGCCAGTAAATGGCATACTGGTTAAGTCGCTAGATGTCTGAGGTTCAAGTCCCAGACCTGGTGGCTTAACACTCATGCCAGGCATGGGACCAGCAGATGGTGTAATGGTTATGTTGCTAGACTCTCATGTAGTTGATCATGGTTCAAGTCTTGGACCAAGAGGCTTAAAACTCATGCCGGGCATGTGTGCACGTGTGCCTAAATTCCCAAGAGGAGAATGGAGGAGAAGGAATTGCGATGTGACCATCCGATCTACAGGAAGATTTCTCACTTTCTGTCTCTTGGTCTCTCTCTGTTTCTCCAGACAGTGCATACGGCCTATAACGAAAAAATTACCCCCAAAAAAAATTTCTCCAGACAGTGCATACGACCTATAACGAAAAAATTACCCCCAAAAAAAATCGAGGTATAAAGTCTTACCAATAAAAGGTGCTGGAAAAATTGGACATCTAAAGGCAAAAAAGCAACCTTATACTATTACAGAGACTTGAGATCAGGGAACAAATTCATTTCCATATAGAGCTTACTTTCTTTGCTTAGTGCTGATTCCTGATCAAGAAAATTCTAAATGACCAGAACCTAAGATTATATTTCCATACTGTACACTGGGAAACTCATGGCCCCAATCAGAAATGCAAATCTCTCTGGGGTGAAGCTGGACAGCTGTGCGGTTGTGCAGAAGACAGGCACAGCACTTCTGAGTGGAGAATGAGGATGATCCGACCCCTGGGTGGCTACAGGGAAACCTAAGATGGGCAGATGTCAGTCCTCGCCTCCAAGTTGGATCAGAAAGTGACATCAAAAGCAAACCAAGGTGAAGAGTTGGCAGTGTGACCCTTGAAGATGATTCAAGTTAGCCTGGGGTACACTCTCTGTTTTCCACTCCCACACTGGAATTAACTTTGGAATCTTCCATAAATGTAGAGAAACTGGGGGCTTTCCAATCATCGTCTGAGTAAGAACTATTTCAGGACAAAGCCTACCAATCTAGATGGCCTTGCATTGCAAAATAGAGGCAGGAAGACAGGAAGTAAATCAACCTGGAGGCCCGGGTGGAGGTAGGAGATACTGTACAATACTTTGTTCTTAAAAGTCAACATATGGACTTTTCCTTAGAATGCTAAAAGCCACACGCAGATGAAGATACAATACTAAAAAATAAGCTACGGGTTACTGTGAAGGTAAGTGGTTCTAGCAAGACGTAGTGGGCAAATTTACTCATTTAACTCCTACCTAGGATTTTTAACCATTTCAAATGTCTAGGCTCCACAAGCCTCAGATGTCTGAGAATAAATATTTAAAATGTCTTGACCAAATTTTTTTTGGAGCACTATTATAAAAAGTCTCCTTTGGTTCCCAGTGGCCCGCAGTGCACTGAGTCACATTCACCATGAGAGCCATTTACCATGTATTTGGATATATTCTATATGTACATAAGAAATACAGACATCTACAAGTAATGGTAACTTTTTGCATGGGTAGAAAAATCTGCATTTTCAAATATACTATCCCTGTGACAAAATTTTCCTGCATTGGTAAACAAAAAATAAATGTCATAGCAAGATTCTATTTCTTTCTTTCTTCTTTTTTTTTTTTTTTTGGAGAGTTTTTGCTATGGGGAGCGTGCGCTCGTCAGAAAGACAGAGAGACAGAAAGTGAGAAATCACCTCCCAGGGGCGAGGGCCATGCCACAATCTCGCCTCCTCCATTCTTTTGGGATCTTGGGCATGCACACACACACACCTGGCATGAGTTTAAGCCTCTGGGTCCGGGACTCAAACTGCGGTCAGTCAACTACATGGGAATCCAGCGACATAGCCATTATGCCAACTGCTGGTCCCATCAAGATTCTATGTCTAAGAGAGCTGCTCTTTAAAGTATAGCTTCCATTCAAGTTTCTGTTTGTCCCAGAGTGAGAGGTCAGCTCTGCTACTGGTCACGGCAAGGTGATGGTCCCATCACCCTCAAAAAAATGTAGCTTGCTAAACAGTAACAGTCAGGTTCTGAGATAAAAGCCTTAGTCGCAGCATAAAGCACCATTCAGACCTTCAGGTGCTGGCTGGTGGGGTGAGGCTGTGTTCGTGTGAGTGTGCAGGCACAAGAGTTCTGGAGGGCTTAGACAAAGCGCACAAGACAGTTGACCTTGGTCCCAGAGATGGGCCATTCTAATTAGCTGTGTTTTCAGAACCCAGGGATCCTCCTGGTCACCAGGGCTCTTTAACTCAGAGCTCGGTCTAGGGCACAAGCTCAGGATGACAAAGGGGCTTCCTTCCTTTGGCTCCTTGAAATTTTCAGCAGTTGGAGAGTGGGAAATTGCCTCCCATAGGGGTGGGTCTAAAATTAACATGGCAATGGTTCCCTTCCTTTCTGTTTACTTCTTTGGGCCATTTTATCTCCTCACCCAATCTTTGATCATTGATTTGGTCATTGAAACATGCTGTAAGTGGATAAAGGACTGTAAAAAGGTGCTTAGCTGAGCAGAGAGAGCACTTTAAAGAGAAAAGAAAATGTGTTATTTATTGATATAAAAAATTGGGAACCAGCAGTTAGTGTACTGGCTATGTCGCTGGACTCCCACGTACTCGACCGCAGTTCACGTCCCAGACCCGGTGGCTTAAAACTCACGCCAGGCGCGTGTGCGTGCGTGCCCAAGATCCCAAGAGGAGAAAGGAGGAGAAGGGATTGTGGCGTGGCCATCCCCCCTGGTGGGTGATTTCTCGCTTTCTGTCTCTCTGTCTCTCTCTGTCTGGCGAGCGCACGCGCCCTATAGCGAAAATCTCTCAAAAAAAAAAAATTAACATTGTGGGACTGGCAGATGGCATGGTGGTTAAGGGCCCTAGGCTCTCACATGGCCGACTGCAGTTCGGGTCTTGGACCTGGCGCCTTTCTTGCTCTCTCTCTCTCTCTCTCTCTCTCTCTCTCTGTCCCTCTCTGGTCAGATTAAAATAAATAACTAAATAAAGTTGAGTGAAATAATTATTAAAAAAAAAAAGAACATGGTCACTTTGTGTCGTGTTAACACTGGGCCAAGCCACCTTCACAAACTTATCTTAGGCCATCAGTCCGAGGTCAGCGGTGTGTGAGCTGCTGAGTGGCGTGTGTGTTGTAGAACTGAATGGGGGAAAGCCGGCTTCCTGCAGAAAGTGCACTAGAACTGCGAATTAGGCCAGCAGAACAGGACAATTCACCCTGTCCAAAGCTGCCTCCAATCTGGAGATGTTCTTGGTAGGTTATATTATGACCGAGTTTTAGACGTCAGTGTGTCAGCTTTCTCTTATTTCACAGAGAGAGTTAAATAACTTTGCATTCATAATGTTTTGTTTTCTTTGCAACATTTCTGGTCTTCTATAAAAGTGATACTGGGTTTCTACTTCAAAGTTTGGAGAGATTATACAATAATGGAGAAGTAACTTTTCTCAGGTATTTATTTGCAAAATTAGATCTTGGCCCCAGTACAGTATCACCAAAGCCTACTTGGAATTCTTTAAAATTAAAAATATGTCAAGCCATGTATCAAGCACATCTTTTATGTATTAATTATCCCCACAAAAATGAATTATTCCCATGAATTTCATTCTCTTTGCACCTTCGAATCAGTAATGGGGGGGGTGAATTATTTCCTGGTAATAGTATCTTAGCCTCCTTTATGCTTCGTGGTCTAAGAAAAACAAAACAAACATCCAATCAAAAACATCCAACCAGGTAACGAAACCTGCGTTGCCTCCTTTCTCCAGCATCACGAACTGAATTCAAGTCTTTCAGACGCACTGCAATCTTTCATTTGTGCTGTGAACTCTAAGGAAAGCTAAAACCAACTCTTTTCACAGTGTCCCGCACACGAAATTACTAAAAAGAATGATTTTTATTTCCTTTAAAGGCTACACGCAACACATTTGCTTGAGAAACTTTCTGAATAGTGACACTGCCTAGTAAAACCCATGCAGTAGACAAAATATCAGATTTCTTTTTCCAGCTGTCCAGAATCCCATTAGTGCCTCTTACTTCTATCAGTCTTTTGCTATAATTAGGATGGCTTAGGGTTTATCTGGGCCTTTTTTCAAAACCAGATTTCCTTCCTACCAGCAGCAGCTGTCATTCAGAAGTGCCCTAACAGTACTGGGAGACTTATTCTGATTTACACGGTGGTACAATCATGAACGTGAAGTGAGGGAAAACACATACAGACACACACAGAGACACAAACACCTCTTATCTTGCCTTTTCTTTTTTTTTTTTTTTTAAGAAAAGAAGCATCTTACCTGAGGATGATCACTGTGGTCTGGAGCCTGGCTTGTTTCAAATAGGCTGTCAACCTGCATCCCTGCGTCGCCATGGACGTTGGCGTCTCCTCTTCTGGGGAGTGAGTCCGTGGGGGTTTGAAGCAGCATGGTGTCCTCCCCTGCCTGGGTGGGAATAGCACATTCTCCTGCGGGACTGTGGGAGTCCTGAGCAGTAGCTTCTGCTGTGGCCTGCGACGTCTCTCTCTTATCACTCTGGGTTAGTGGGCACTGAGCAGGCTCTGCGGGATGGAGGGGATTAAGGGCGCCTTCCGTTGCATGTTCTTGGAGGCTGGTGATCGCCTTCTTGGGTTTTCCCTTCATTCCTGGCCGCCTCCCCCTGCCAGGTCTCTGGGAGCCCCTCCTGCTCCCTAAGTCCGTTTCCCCTGCTCTTTTCTCATTCAGGGTCTCCGAACACTGGTTCATCCCTGGCTTTTCTAACTCACCAGCCAAGGGCTTCCTCTGTGTCTCTGTCGCTGCTTTCTCCATGTTCAGCAGATTGTCACTGGCGAATTCCTCTCCTGCTTGGTGGCTGTCTCTCGTTTCTCCTTGAATTCCTGGATAATCATTTTCAGCAGCTTCAGAAGCAGTGGGGAGCTTATATCTCCCCTGCTCTGTCACCGTCGATGTCCCATCCTGGTGAGGTCCCAAAGTAAGAGTCATCCCTGTTTGGGAGGATGAGGGACTGTGTCCGGAGGCCCCACCACTCCTTGGCCCCACTTGTGGGGATTGTGAGTGATAACCGCAGAGGCCAGCGGTGGCATCCCTAGGCCCAGTGTCACCCGACACCCAAGGCCCACAACCCATCTCACTGAGGAAATGCTCACACCCCCCCAGGCCACTCTCCCCGAATTCCGTCTCTTCGTCATCGCTTTCTAATAAAAAAACATGCTCAGTCCCCTGCAGGTTCCTTTGCCAAACTGCATTAGAGTAATCTGTCAGAACATCGGAACATTCCAGATACTCCAGGTCATCTTCTGAAAACTCCTCTGTGCAGGTTAGGGTTATCTCTGGGCAAAGTTCATAGTCGCTGTCAGAGTCTTCACTGGAAGCCTGCGGGCTGAGTGGCTTGCTGACGGTGGCCCTGTCACCAGGGCCTGCAGCTCCCTCAGACAACGGTAGGCTGAGGCTGATGTATTTCTGCGCTTTGGAATATTGATGACCGGAGTTTGCGACCTGATCATTAAGGCCGTCACTGTGGAGGCCACCATTCGTTAACCTTGATACTTGGGAATGCACCGTCCTGTGGCAACACGAAGCTTGCTTTTCGAGAGTGTCACTGGAACTAAGGAAAAGTGACCCATCTGCAGCTTCTTTTGGTTTATTTGGGTCATTGGCCTCTTCAGTTTGCCTTGATCCTTTAACATCCCAGAGATTTTCAAAACTGGATACGCCAAGGTCATGACTGGCCAATGAGCGTAAATGGCTGAATTTGGAGGGGGAGGAATCAGCTGCCGTGGGAGTAGCTGGCAAGATACTCTCTTCTTCCTTAGAAAGAGGTCCTTTCTCCTCAATTCGATTTGCACATTCCTCCTCACATGTCCCTGATTCCCGCCTCCAACCTGTGTCCCTGTCATCTTGCAGGTCAGGGGAGAGGTGGGGGTTCTCAGACGAGCACTCCACGTCAACGGAAGCAGAGCAGCAGATCATGCCGGAAGAGTTTTTTGCTGAGATTTGGTAGACGGCAGCATCGCTTGGGGTACAGCTAGGATGCAGAGAATACACAGGTAAGCGGGCCCCATTAAACATGCATGCCAACATCGTCCACCTGGTGACACACAGAGAAACGTGAGCGTGACTTTCCCATGTGCTCCAGCAGACCGCGGCCGCCCTGGGGAAGGCTTTGCACCCTGGTGCTGAGGCTTCTGGGAAGTTCAGCATTTTTCTCTTAAAGCATCCCACAATCTGACCCCAAGTTAATGGTGAGAATTCCTTAAACGAATGGGAAAGTGTTTCATCGTCTAATTTCTTCTCTGCTTTTATTGTAAGTCATTTTTATACGGTGGGAATTTGAAAAAAAAAAAGTGTTCTTTTTTAGAATGACACATTATACATGAATAACCGTTCACTCATAGACAGGAACAGCATACACATGAGCTCCTTTTAGGACCATGTGCAGAGGGCACGTTCTTGCCAGGAGGCTGTGAAGACCTTACCACAACGGAGTGATGTGTACGGAGGACAGTGTGCTGTTTCCTCTTTAATTTAATGTGGCTAAAAGGTCTACACCACAGCCTGTGAGCCCCATTGGCTAGAAACCAGAGCCCACATGCCATCCTGACCAACAGAGAGCCAGGTGTTTGGCGTGGGCCCATCAGAGCAGGAACAGAACGGAATCCTGGATCAGACTGAGCCTGCTCTCCCTGTTCCGGGAGGGAGAGCTCTCCTGGGCTCCTCCCTTTATTGACTGGAGTCACAGGGACCTTGATAGGCTTTATTCATCTTCTCACACTAGGATCCTCCCCTAGGCTCTGAACTTGCAATGAAAACTTCTTAGACTTATTTACTAAACTGCAGTCTTATCCCATTTTGCTCCCTGTAACTGCAGTACAGTTGATCTCACTGTATGTATGGTTTGACTCAGAAACCAGCGATCACTTTTAGAAGGCAGGAGCTGCAGGTCTGGCTGGCCCTGAAAAGCCATGTTTGGCTCTATATTGACTGTTGTCTGTGTAAAGCATCCTCAAATGTCTGACTCAAGGGGGGTCGGCGTTGTGCACACACAGCTGTCATAGTCTTCTCTATCCTTTCTCTTCCTCAGTGCGGGGAACATCTTTGCTTCCTCAGGCCTAATACATGCTCATAAGCCCTCAGTCAGTGGGCGGCCACTCACATAGGCCGTATTTTCAGAGGTCCGTGACGAATTCTAATTTCAGTGATGTCTTATTTAGTTAATAACCCTGCTCTCAGGTAGAAAGTGACTGTGGTTGGCCAAGCCTGGTCATCACTGGTATCTGGTTTTGCCTGAGCCAACAGCACAGGGAGGCTGAAATCTGGGACAACTTTTTGGGGGAAACAGTATCTGTTACTGTCAATTTCACAAGGTCATTCTGAGGTTCAAATGTGAAAATCAACATGTAGGGGGCTTTGCAAGGCCGAAGCTTTATGCCAGATATAGTCTCCAAAAATGTGAAAGTTTTAAGACCAAGATACCTGTGATTCTGAAGTGTGCAGAAGAATAGTCAGAGAACTCTATTTAGAATTCTTAAATAGGAGAGCCGACCCTGTGGTCCAGTGTTAACCAGGGAGCCAGACCAAGGGAGCCAGACCCCACGTAGCCAACCGTGCCAATTAAATTACTGCCGCAGTGGTTTGAAAATCACACTGGGCAGGTACATGTGCATGCCCAAAATTACGACAGGATGGAGAAATAGACAAGGAAGGATTGCAACATGACCATGCCCTAACTGGGGGGTGGGGTGCTTTCTCCCTTTCTCTCTCTCTCTCTGTCGTTCTTTCTCTGGTGAGCTTGTGTGCCCTCTGGCAAATTGTAAAAAAGGAAAAAAAAAAATCCTGAACGAGAATCTCCAAGTAGAGGGCCTGGGTATCTGCTTTTAAAGATCACAAAGCCATTCCCAGGCAGGCTGTCCTTGGCCCACCTGAGAGACATCCTTGTCCTCTTCTTCACTATGTAGGTTTAGCTCTCCTCCATTGAAGCTGCATCTGCTCAGCGGAAGAGGAGTGGTTTTGGTTCAGGTTCACATTACTCATACCAACCCTTTCATGAGCCTTTCAACTACTTCTTGGAGATTTGGCCTCAGGTAAGAGTTTACAGGGAACTTACACAATCACTACAGGCTTCTAGAAAATCCCAAGTAATTCGGATTTCCTGATTCATCCAGACCATGAGCCCTTTGCCAGGAAACCACCTATCCCAAAGACACCATGACTTGTTTAGGAAGAGAAGAAAGACGGAGAAGAAAATATGGCTGGGAGGCACAAAGGACTAGGTAAGAAGGCAGTAATGGGGGGAAGCAGAGGTGGTACTCAAGAATCGAGAAGAGAAAACAAAAAGAATTTTAGGAAAAGATGGAGAAAATAATTGGGTTAGGGCTGGCTCTGTGTCCCGCGGTTAAGACAGTTCCCGTGTGACTGACTGCACGGCTCCAGACCCAGTGGCTTGAGAAACTCACTGGGCATGTGAGTGAGTGTGCCCAAAATCCCAAAAGGAGCGAAAGGTGGAGAAGAAGGGATTAGGGCATAACCATTTCTCAGAGGGGGTACTTTCTCCTCTCCCCACCCCACCCCCCGTCTTTTTCGGCAAGTACACACTCTTTAGTTAAAAAATAATGATGAAGTTAAGAGTTGTGTTAAACATACTTAACTTCCCAAAAACTAAATAAGCAGATGGGAGCTTGTCATGATTTAGTGATGTACAACCTTATGGAACATGTGTTTTTCTTGATATAAGATTTACAATCTATCCTAAGTACACTGAGTAACATGGAAAAGGCACTGGATTAAGTATAATTAACTTTTTACTGGCTAGTGAATGCCTTGGAGAGAGTTGTGGCTTGTGGTTAACAAATCCTTGATAATTATCTCTAGCCCCTACAGAAGGGGTGGGGGAGAAATCGGGAAAGGAACCCACATCTGTTGGGTGCCTCCTATGTTGAAGATGTCTAGTTACTCCCTGTGTGTGTGAAACAGAGGCTCAAAGCAGTTGGGTCATTTCTCCTATATTGCAAGGCTGATAAGCAACAGAACCAGGGTAAGAAACCAGAACTTTCTGTCTCCGCAACCTGGCTTTGTGTGTGCTGTCAGAAAAAAAAAAAAAAGAAAGAAAAGAAAAGAAAATGACAGAGTACGGAGTCTCAGCTGTGCAAATAAAATATTTCTGTTCTAAGTCTTCAGTTTTTTAAGTTTATCTGTTTCTTTCATGAGCGTGAGAAATAGGAAGTCATTATTCTAAGTAGGATCTTGAGGCCATAATCCACGCCCAATTTCATGAGTGTGAGAAATAGGAAGCCATTATCCCAAGTAGGATCTTGAGGCCATAATCCACGCCCAGTCTCAGCCAGCCCCATGCACGTATCCAGCATACTTAGCAGGTCTCTGGGGAGCAACATGGGTCGGCCTCGCAGAATGTTGCATTTTAATGTTGCATCTCCTTCCAGCCCCGTAAGTCCTCATCTCCATCAGTCAGTTGGCAAACTTGTGTAGAGTATGTACAAGTGTCCAGACATTATGTTAAGAGCCAAAGAGGAGTCAAGGGGATAAGGGAAGCATAATCAGCCCTAAAATTACTAAAATTCAAAGAAAGGACATAGTACTAATTTGTCAGAGAACTTTGTTAGTTCGAGCAACATTTAATGTTGCATCTCCTTCCACCCCCATAAGTCTTCATCTCCATCCGTCAGTTGGCAAACTTGTGTAGAGTATGTACAAGTGCCCAGACATTACGTTAAGAGCCAGAGAGGAGTCAAGGGGATAAGATAAGGGAAGCATAACCAGCCCTAAAATGACTAAAAATCAGTGAAAGGATACAGTACTAATTTGTCAGAGAACTTTAATGTTGCATCTCCTTCCACCCCCATAAGTCTTCATCTCCATCCGTCAGTTGGCAAACTTGTGTAGAGTATGTACAAGTGCCCAGACATTACGTTAAGAGCCAGAGAGGAGTCAAGGGGATAAGATAAGGGAAGCATAACCAGCCCTAAAATGACTAAAAATCAGTGAAAGGATACAGTACTAATTTGTCAGAGAACTTTGTTAGTTCTGTGCTAAGTCGGTTGGTACAGCCCGCAAGGGGAAAGGGCGTTCGGAAAAGGGCCTTCAGAGGTGGCAGTTTAAATGGTGTAAGATGGGGATGTAAGATGTCTTCATCTTCACAAGACACTGGCAGAGACACCTGTGTGCCCCACAGTGATTTGGCAGGAATACAAAACCATCCAGGAAGAAATTCCCTGAACAATTCATTGTGTTCCCTCCTTGCTCTTTGCTTTTGGCTGAGGGAAGTAGAGCATTCCTCCACCCTGGCTGTGGGAGTCTTGCTTGAATTCTCTAGGTTCTTTCTTAAGTAATCATTTCCTGAATAAGGAGGTTCATGTTATCTTAAGTGGACAGCACTCTTTCTGAGTTTGAACCCCCCAAAATTGGCCTAGAACAGATTCTGAAAACATCTTGGTATAGGAGTCTGAAAAATAATTGAGGGCTCCAAAGAACTTTTGTGTGAGTTATATCTATGTGTACTATATTAAAATTAAAACTGAAAAAATTCTAAGTATTGGGACCAGCAGTTAGCATAATGGCTATGTCGCTGAACTTCCATGTACTCAATCGCGGTTCAAGACCTGGACTCAATGGCTTAAACTCACACCAGGCGCATGTGTGTGCATGCCCAAGATCCCGAGAGGAGAATAGAGGAGAAGGGATTGCAGCGTGACCATCTCCCCTGGGGGGTGATTTCTCTCTTTCTGTCTCTCTGTTTCTCTGTCTCTCTGGTGAACGCATGTGCCCTATAGTAAAAACCTCTCCAAAAAAAAAAACTAAGAATTTACTAATTAATTTTAAGATAACAAAAATTAATTCATTGCACATTACATAAAATTCATTTTTTTGAAAAATACTTTATTTTTCCAAGACAAAGCAAAATTTCATAAGAATGGCACTGTTTACATTTTTTATATACCTTTAATATTGTATTTAATAAAATACAATCGGATTTCTATATCTGCTTCTTGATTCAGTGTGATGCAATACATG